AGTTGTCTTCATTTTATTATTCAAATCTTATCCTTATTATTCAGATCTTACCCCCGGAGGCATTTGGGGTAAGGCTCTTGGAGGAGCGGTGCTTTTAAGACAGATGTAGCTGAAGCCCTGATCTGAATGGAGAGGCTGAACAACTGCGTGGCCACAACCGCCTGATGTAATACAGGACACGTATTACCCCGGCTGATGGCTCAGGGAACTGAAGCTGTCTCCTCTCACCTCTGTGATAAATCTATGCTTGCAATTTAGGACTGCTTTAGATCAGAGAAATGAAAGATAAGGAGCAATAAGTGTCTAGTTGGAGAATCAGATGATGAACCTGAATCAGCTTGCAACACAGAGGCGTCTATTTTGACACACAATAGCACAGTATGTATAGATCTTTTCTAAGCTACAGGAAAATGTTCTGCTTTCTTCTGAGCTCAGTGAAATAGATATGGATTCTCTGCAACCCTCCTGTTATCACTAAAGTATTTAAATGCCTTATCTCTTATCTCCATCATGATGTGAATTAAAATGACTGAGTGAATGTTCTGAAACTTTAAGCTATCAATCTGAAGTTATTAAAAAAATATTTACAGATAGAATCAATAAGGAAACAGATTTACTGCTTTTTAGGAAGATAAAATGAGGAGAAGGGGACAAGATTTCTTTTAATCCATACTGGGCCAAATAATGCTTAAGAACAAATAATTTCTTTCTCTATCCTTCAGCTATTTAGTGAAATCAATGTATTTTCTGAGCAATAACAGGAGTTTCTTATGGTTCACTGTTCTCAGACAAAAATGATTGTATAAGCTTGGGAACCCAATGGTCCTGTCCTTAGGGCAGAGCTGTCAAGAATGAAGAGAATTTGCAGAACATTTCTTTGTTTTACTGAAAGTGTCTCAAATTCATTACATCTTCAAGAAAAAAAATACACACATTACACAGGGAGATCCTGCCATCAGGAAAATGATGACTGGATATATTCATGGTAAAAAAAAACAAAAGCATAAATATAACCAAGACCCTGACAAAGAAAAGTATTGAAACATCTTGAAGTATGTGTTCAGAGTAAAACACCTACATAATCACTTGGTCAAAGTGTATTCAAAATACAAAACTAATATCTTATTTTTCTAGAAGTGAAGTTGGACAATGTGGTCCTCTGGCTGTGGTTGCATCTAACATGCAGGTTCAACCCACAGAAATTATCAATCCCAATATACAGTTTTTGCATTATACATATGGACAAACTCATCTACACATATACTACCTAAATGTGTTCACATTACTTGCTAAGCTCTTGCAAGGCATAAGACAACACAGCCAAGTAGCCTACAATAGCACATTTCCCTATCAAACAGAATGTGAAATAATTAAAAACTCAGTGTAACTTCACACAACTTAAGCAAATGCATTATTTAGTGGCGAATTTCCTGGGTGGGCTGGTAGGGACCTAAGGAGGTCCTAAACTTCCTCTTGTACCAGAACCCTAAGTGATGTTTCACAGGGTAGCAGCCATGCCAATGATCAGCATATTTGCTCCCATCATATCTGCACCCAGCACTGTCATGTCTCTTCTATGTCCAGACAATTCCTTTACCATGTTATAATGCAAGAACACTCAAATAATTTTCAGTCTACAAAGGCAAATGCTTTAAGGAGATGGTCTGCATGTAACCTATAAACTCTGAAGTTTTCATATCATGGGTAGCATCTACTCATTGTGGGTGGGGAGGGAGGGGGAGTCTGAATTGTAGTAGACCCAGCTCAGTTAGGCCTTATGTGAACTACCCTTCTATGGAAATATATGTGGAAAGATGTGAAGGCAATACATGCCACCTTCCCTGTGCCTGGAAACAGTTGTGCTTTCACTCATCTCCCCTGACTTTAGACCTCTGCCTCTGGCAGTGTTCTCTCTCTCCAGTGACAGAAAAAGAAATTTAGCAGGTCTCTGCCCATAATTTAAGACATTGCTGAGAACCTGAAAGTAAGTGGGATGATTCTAGCTTTCTGTTCATGACTGGTCATGGTCCATCTCTACTTGCATTTCTAGATACATTTTCAGTAATCAGGCATTTCAGTCACTGAAATTGCCCTTTCCCAGCCTGAGATTACACACTGCTACCTATTTGTTCATGATGGTCAGTGCTGCAAATGAGCCTAGCAGGTAGTCTTGCATGGCAGTTCATGGTCATGTACCTTGTTCATGTATCCTAGCTTTCACACTGACACAGCAGCTAATTATAAAAGCAAATTGTAAGCCTATCTGTTTGTCCTTGCCTGTTGCCAAGTAATATTTAGTTTGATGTGAGACAATAGTATCAAGATGCTTGAACCAAGGTTGATATATAATAAGAAAATGATGTTAAGAGAAAACAATTGCAAGAAGTAACCTTCCTCATAAGGAAAAGAATCAGAAAAATATACACAGTTCTACCATTTTACATACTCTTTCATTTTAGTAATAGCTTCTATGTCAGAGGCTAAATTTCACTTCATGTATTAAAATTACAACTATTGTTTCAGTTTCTTTGATATTTATAACAAATGAAGAAATATATAGCTCTCTTTATTGACTTATAAAAATTGAATAATTTCTTGAGGGTTAGTCGTCCAATCCTGAAAAATCAGGTGAACCTTTTTTGTTTATAAAAGAGAAGAAAAAGAAGAAGATAATATAGTTATAGACTATCCAAATGAACTTTTGGATCCATTATTACAGAGCTGTCTGGTTACTTTGTCTGTGACTTCGATCCAGCCAATTCTACAGCTGTGCATAATTTTATATACTCTGACCTTCGTGCAGTCAATAAAAAAGAAGATGCATCTAGTGCATAACCAATTGCAGATTCACATCCTAAACAGTATCACAGCACAGCAGAGATCATCATTTTCACCTTTGGAAATCTTTTCAAATTGTGATAACCTGACTAAATTTACCCACTTCCTAAGGCACTAAGAAACAAACAAAAGTGAAGCCTTGCTCAGAATACATATCAATTTTTTCTCTTCAGGATTTCTGGAGTAAAGCTGAATCCACCAATTCCAAAATTTCTGAAACTTTATTCCTAGTTCAGCCATTTGTTTTTACATGTGTTATGTTCAGTCTTATATCCTAAATCCACAAGTTTTCAAATTGAGCCACTTAGCATATGGAAGAGTTGAGCTGGCATTTCTATTAATGCTCCCCAGTACTAACATGCAATCTTTGCTTCTTAAATTCTATTTGATTGCCAAACCCAGGCATAGATTAGAATAATCTGTCCATAGGTAAATTTGCCAAATTCCCATTCAGTTGACAACATCATATTCTTTTGTAAGTCCTAAGAACTGAGAATCATTTTCATTTTCCTTGCTTAGTAGACAGAAGAAATCTCTGCGGCTGAGATTCAAGTCACTGAAACATAGAGGAGAAAAAGAAGTGCCACTGTCTATGTACCGTAAATGTTAGACAATACAAGGGGATCTGGTTTGATGAAAGAGTGGTACCATATCAAGGTGCTGAGTGCCTATTCATTTCTAACAGATATGCACCATGGCTTCATAACAAACAAACAAAAAGCAGGGAAGCAGTTCTTTTCTTAATTTTCTCCAGTTCATAACTGTTCCAGCTATTTATGGCTGGCTGTTTCCACCCAGCCTTCTGGAGGCATTTTTGTTCCTTGTGACCCTTCAGCACTTTTTCTGGATGCCTCTGCCTGAAAAAAAAGACAGAGTTGGGGTTTGATTTATCCCTGATGAGAATGAAAATACTTCTCCTGTTGTGATGGAGAAGTGCTTGCAATGGCTTGACCTGCCCTGACAACTCTCTGTGTTTATTAACTTGCCTGAAATATTTGTTTTGGGATGTCAGGTGTTAATCTCAATTAATGCTGATTTTTTTTGCAGGAGACTACTGGAAAACAACTTTCTGTTAGAACTGTTCTAGTTTTACAGTGAAATACTTATTCATATAGAAAAATCTGAAGCAGAATAGTTGATATATTTTAATATTTTGCTAACATGCATTATTGGACTTTGTTTAATCACATTTTTAATTTAAATTAAAATCTGGCTCCTCACTGTGACCAGAAGAAAAAATACATTCACCTCCACTATGTAGTGTACAAAGACACAATAGCAAGTTTAGGAAATAGTACAGTCTATTTCTGGATGACAGATGCTTTGTAGTGTAATCATTATTCATTGGCTGCAGGGATTTTTAGGCAGACTGCCAAGCAGTCCATGTGCCTCCGCTTATTGCCACATTTCTTAAAGGTAGGTTTTTAATTGGAAAGGGGAGAGATCATGAGTGATTTGCTATACGATTTTTGACAAGTAGCATTCTAAATTAAGTGTTATGCCATTTTTTCACATGCAGGAAACTTTGGAGAACGTGATCTACCTCTCCAACAATCACACATTAAACTATAAAGCTCCATAGAACACAATTGTTGATAAGAAGAGAGGAAAACTGTGAAATTATTGACACCATGCTGCAGTTTGGGGCCTTAGGTAAGTGTATGCAAAATGTATTACACATATCCATCATAAAGAGCAACGACATGTTTATTGATACATTCCTTCTCAAAGGCAAAGTGCTCTTACCAGGTACTTTTCATCTCTACCTAGACCTGTATCTTCATCTATATTTTGTACAATATGCCCCTCCCATATGGCAGTGGAAAAAACACAGATCTACATATGAGTCTCATTCCAGGATTTGATGGGCATGACCAACATATGGTTTACATCTTCTAGACCCTATCTAAGATTTTACAGATGTCCAGATCACCAGATCCTTAGGTCTTATCTGTAGATATAGGGTCCTATAGGGATAAAATTATAGGATTTTGTCTTAGAGGAACTAGAATATGGTGAAATGATTAATACATTTCTTCACTGCGAACTTGAAAGGTGCAATTTTCACATTTGAATGTCTAGAACCCATATATCAATTTCTAGCTTTTAGCTTACTTCAGTGCTGTGAACTTGATTTCAGCACCTCCAAATTAAAATGTCATCCGGGTATACAGATGTCTTAATAGATGGGCTTCTCATGTGTGTGTCAGCAGCAGAGATGTGTACATCTTAGCTGGTCATCTAACTCTGCTTTAAGAGAGCAAGAGGAAGAGGCTCCTGTAAGGCACTGGTCATGTCTTCCAGAAGTAGAGTTTTAAAGCAGATCTGTTAACCACACACAATTTTTTTTCATACGCTTGCAGTAAAGAGAAGCTTGGGAGTTAGCCCCTATATAGACATCTGCAGTGTGGATACTGCACACACCTTGCATGCTAACCCACAGAGCAAATGACACACAACTAAGTTTAAAAACTGGAAGCAAGAGGGACATCGTAAGAGGAAAGAGTAGAACTGTTAACACACTAATACATCCCGGTTAGGCTGTTACACAAGCCCTCCTTCATGTTCTTTAGCATCCTAAATAGAAAGCAAGAGAGAAAGAGAGGGAGAGAGAGAAAGAGAGAAAGAGAAAAGAGAGAAAGAGAAAGAGACGGAGAAAGAAAGAAAGAAAGAAAGAAAGAAAGAAAGAAAGAAAGAAAGAAAGAAAGAAAGAAAGAAAGAAAGAAA